TTTGTAACGGCATTCGATTATAAAGAAATCTCAATGGCTACAAATTCGATATTCATGTGTGATCACATTTCTATTGGATTGAAAGCAAATAAATCAATAAATTTTTAGTGTATTAACTATTTTAAAATAATTATTATAACTATCATATTAAGTATTTGTTTTAAGCTCCTGGAAGACCACCCTATAAATGAGCATAAAAGAATAAACCTAACATTTGGTGAATACATACATATATAACCCACTCATTTTTGCCACTGCGGTTTATACATGTACAAAATATATGTGTACATACGTATATATGTAAGTATATACATATATACATATATATATGTAATATGCTCGTGTGTGATTTATCCTTATAAGTACTAATTGCTAAATAAAAATGCCAGCATTGTTTAGGCGTTTCATCTCATTCATGATTTTCTAAACAGTCCAGAGGTGCCTGCATTCTTTGTTCAATGCAGCTCATTAAAATGCATTTTTGGTTGCAGTTTCGTTTTTTCATCGCATTTATAGATATCATTATTCAAATTGTGCATTAATGCTTTTCATTGAGGTGCAGTAGTGATGTGGGAGCTGGAGAACAGACGTGCCATTTAAAGGTGCAGCAAATTTGTTGTTTGGTGTTTCCATATACACATAGTATATGTACATACATATATTATACATATTAAGTATATACATATATTTGACAAATAAAACAAAAATTATTATTAACTTCAGCTTCACCGAAGCTTAATACTGTTCCCAAATAAAAATAATTTGGTTTTCGGTCAGTTGGTATGGCAACTATATGTTGTAGTGATCCGATCTGAATAAATTGTTCGGACATTGAACGGTTCTTTTTTTAAAGTAACTCTTGTTTGTTCAGAGATAGTAACTAAAAATTCTTTAATATAGGAACTGAATTTACATCATTCAGTTTGTATGGCAGAATGCTATTGAGGTCCGATATCGGTGGTATCGACAAATGAGCAGTTTCCTTGAGATAAAAGAACGTGTGAAAAATTTCATATCGGTATCTCAGATATTGAGAGATTAGTTCGCGTATATACAGACTTATAGACGCGCATGGTAAAATCGACGCAGCTTGTCACCCTGATCATTTATACTATATATCGTTATATATAAAAATCACTGAACCGATTTTAAATGTAATTGCACACCGTGTGCAATTTGATCCAACTCGAGGAACAGGGTAGCTTACATCTCTATTTATAATCACAATGTTATATTATTGCAAATTATTTGTATATTATTTGTCTGTTATTTGACAGATAGAATTATTTGTTAGCTCCAAAAGTTTCTAACAGATGGCGTTATGTTAAAAGTACAAACGTCTTATAGAAGCTACAGTTTATTAGCATAATCACAAATTATTTTAATATTTAAATACAAAATTGATTTAGGTACAGCTTAGTTTCAGCAATACGTAATTATTATGCTATTAAATTTGTGTTTTTAACATAGCACCATCTATTAAATGCTTACTCAATCCAGCCAATAGTTAACGTCATCTGTTATAATATTTTGGAGGATAATTGCGACTGTCATATAATAGACAAAGACTCAACAACGCTCGAAGCAGAGAGGCACGATGCAAGCGTGTTGAAAGGGCATTGAACTGCCAAATAATTTATGCAATGTTCTTGAGGAAAAAAAAAAATGAATTGATTCGGAGTATTTTTTCGAATATACAGGGTGATTACTTGAATCATAACTGGCTCCGTGAGCGGGCTATTTTGGCAGCCAAAAATGTTGATGTTTTAAATCAGTCGATACTGTTCTTAGTGAAAATGAAAGTGTAAGTTTTCTAATTGAATTCACTAGATAATGTACACCCGGAATGCCACCACATAGTATTCGATTAAAGAATGGTTCAACTAATTTTCTCCTGCGTAATTTGGATCCACCTCCATTATGCAATGGTGCGAGTTTGGCTATCAAAAATATCAATGTAAATGTTCGTGAAGCAACCAAATCATCTGGAAAGTTTAAAGATGAAGTGGTCCTGTTGCCACGTATTGTAATGATACCATCGGATCCTACGGTATCCTTCAGGAGCTACAATTTCCGGTTCGTTTAGCTTTTGCAATGACGATAAATAAATCTCGAGGCCAAACAATGTCCATTTGTGGTTTAGATTTGGGAAATCCATGTTTTTGTCATGGAAACTATATGTTGCATGTTCACTTGTAGGAAAACCGTCGTATCTATTTGTGCTAGCTAAATACGGATTAACCAAAAATATTGAGCACCTATTTGTGCTAAATTAAATTTAGATTAAAAGTATTGATAATTCAAAATATTGAAACTTATTCTTAAAGATTTAAAACTATCTGTTAGGAATTTAAATAAAAAAAATTATTTTTTAATTAATTCTTTTGTATTAACTGTTACCAAATTCAATAGTATGAAAATTTTGTTCAATCGTATTAAAAGTCCTTCCCCTTCAAATTTCAATCCAGTGGATTCTTATACCAGCTTTAACGTTCCGGTCTTCGTTCGTACATAATAATTTCCTTGTATTAAGGGGTAACTGTTCCCCGTGAAGACTCTATACCAATATAATATAACAAAAAAATTAGCCACAGCAACAAGTGACAGGGTCTGCTAGTCTTTATACATATATGAAAATTACGTGTCATGCTGTTTGACCCTTAACTACTGAACCGATTTTAGCAAAATTTAACATGCTGTGTTCAGTTCGAACCAACTTAGAAGATAAGAACAAAAATAACAGTGAAAGCTCTATTAAATGGACGCTCTATTAAGGGGGCATCTCCTTTAATCATGCACATTGGCCGGTCCCACAATTTATTGATATTTATTAAGTACCATCTACTGGCGGACAACTCTATTAACTGGACAGAAAGGCTGGTAACCAGACATTGAAAAAGCAGCCTTAAATTTGTTATTTTTATACTCTCGAAACAAAGTTGCTAAGGAGAGTATAATAGTTTTGTTCACATAACGGTTGTTTGTAAGTCCTAAAACTAAGAGTCAGATATATGTAGGGTTATATATGTATACGAAAGTGATCAGGGTGACGAGTAGAGTTGAAATCCGGATGTCTGTCTGTCCGTCCGTCCGTGCAAGCTGTAACTTGAGTAAAAATTAAGATATCAAAATGAAACTTGGTACACGTCGAAGATGGGTAAAATCGGCCTACTGCCACGCCTACAAAATGCCAAAAAACCAAAAACCTATAAAGTGTCATAACTAAGCCATAAATAAAGATATTAAAATGAAATTTGGCACAAAGGATCGCATTAGGGAGGGACATATTTGGACATAAATTTTTTGGAAACTACTATAGCTAAGTCAACCAAACTCTATATAGTCGTTTCCTTCAGGCATTTCCATATACAGTTCAAAAATGGAAGAAATCGGATACTACGCCCACTTCCCATACAAAGGTTATGTTGAAAATCACTAAAAGTGCGTTAACCGACTAACAAAAAACGTCGGAAACACAAAATTTTACGGAAGAAATAGCAGAAGGAAGCTGCAGCCATGCTTTTTTTAAAAATTGAAAATGGGCGTGGCATCCCCACTTATGGACCAAAAATCATATCTCAGGAACTATTCGACCGATTCCAATGAAATTCAGTGCATAATATTTTTTTAACACCCTGATGATATGTACGAAATATGGGTGAAATCGGTTCACAACCACGCCTTCTTCCAATATAACACTATTTTGAATTCCATCTGATGCCTTCTCTTTATAATATATACATTAGGAACCAATGATGATAGCGATATAAAACTTTACACAAATACGGTATTTGTGGAAAAATTGTCGTGATCGGACTATAACTTTTCAATACAATTAAAATAAATGAAAACACAGTGCAATACTCAAAGTACACAAACTGATCTACTCTAATTAATTTTACAGCAAAAACAAAAAAAAAAACCGATAATGAAATCTCGATTATCACTTTATCAGCCAGAGTATAAAATGAAGACAGTACCGCGTGGCCCGATCCACTAGTATATATACATATATGTATATTTGATAAGTTGTTTCGACTTTTCGTTCTACATGTTACAAACTTAGGTCCATATTCAACACATACATATTGCACACTAGTAAGCATTGATTTATCTAATTCTTATATATTATACATTAAAATGTACAATATTTTTAGATGGCTATTACAAAAAAACTTTATAATTGCAAAGTTTTTGTTTATTATTTGATTGACAATCGTTTCGTGTGACTATTTAATAACTTTTACTGTAAACTTTGATTCGTGTGCTGTGAACCGGGCGTGAACCGTAATTATAAAATTTTTTTAAATAAGTATTATTGATTAAAATAATGTCTAGTATTTGCTAGATTCTGGAAATTTCACATAGACAATTTCTTTAACAAAATATCAGCTGTCGTCTATGCGTCCATAGGAGAGCAGCGAATCGATCAAATTATATCAGATGTTCAAACAAACGGGCGCACTTGCGTTGAAACCCTCTATTAATATACAAGCAGTTATTTTTTCCTTTGCTGCATAAATTCTTGTTTCAATGACAAAACACGTTTTAGTAACCCCAAAGTTTGGTCTCATATGAATTTATTTTAAGCTTTAAAATTTCGAAATCAACAAAATAAATTCATTGTTAATTTCAATATTTTGCCATGTTTGGTATCAATTCTTAAAAAAAATTTTTGGTAGCATTGTGAAGGCACAATTTCCGACCAGAAAACGAAGCTTAAAGATAGCGAGCGAAAACATTGTAATCGATGACGGATATTACTAAATGTCGTCATTTAAACTTTTACTTGCTACAACTGAAATCACGCATTTGAATCATTATTATTATTTACCATTATCATTATTACCTATTTAAAAGGAAAATATAAATATGAATTTTCCAAAAATGTACATTTTAATGATTATATTAGTTATACATTTCATTATAAAATTATTGATATTGTTTATATAGTATAACAGCATTGTTAGTAAAGTTTAAAAAAATAAAACTTAGCTTACCTTCGTTCTGTACAACGGATTGCTAAAGTCCCAATCGGGTGCTACGAAGAGGTAACCGCATTTTGAAACCTTGCGTGATGCCTTGAAATCGGAAAGAAAACATACATAATGACAGTTTAGTTATAAATATAAATTAGTTGAGCAATAGACAGATAAGACATATTTCTTAATTAAGACCACAATTTCGATGAGAGTTCTCGAAATTATATAGGAAACGATTATGCGCAACAAAAAACCGCTAGCCAGATTAAACGTGAATAATATGATTTTTATTTTGTGCTGTGGCTGCTAATCTAATACACCAACAGTAAATATAGCGAAATGAATAGGGAAATAATATTAAGTAATTTCCTACAATAAAGCGCACAAAAAGTGCCGATATTTTTCGCGCCTAAGAAACAACAACAGTGGCAGCCAACTTTTGATTGCTCCAATTTACTTTATTTTCTGTGTATTGTTTTTATCTTATTTTTAGGGCCATTACGTGCACTGTCGCCGTGGCTACCGGACAGTCGTTGCGCGTGTAAGTACTTTAACCGCAAAATTGAACGTGAGTATTATGGAGGACTGCTGGTGTATACAGACGATTGAACTGTATGAGTGTTTGTGATTGTGTGTTTCGCGAAACCCATTGACATGACTAATAGTGAATGGTAACGACAATTACGTGAAGACAATCGCTGAATGAGGCTCAGCCACCTACAGACCGAACGACCAACTAACCAACAAACGCGGCACTCACTAATCAACGACCCAACAACCCCAACAAACGACCGCCTTATCTTTGGTTTGGAGTCGAGCGTGGTCAGAGAGGATTTCGGCAGCATAGAGCCAAATGCCGAAAAAATGGCAATTGTTGTATGGACGCAAAAGCGCCGCTCTGAATTTTTTGGAAAATATCAAAACAGAAGTAAATTAGGAAAATAATAAAAATAGGAGAAGTGATGGAGATGGAGATATTCCAAGAAACACACAAAAAAGTAAACGAGTAAATGCAAGCAAAAGAAATAGACGAAAACGAACAACAATTAAGAAAATGAATAAGTAGTTCAACATGGCGATTGAGCACTATGCAAACTCAGTAGTTTGGCTAAAATTAATTGAAAAACTGAAAATGCAATTTAAAAAAAAAAAGGTAAAAAACTGGTACTTTGTAGAATGTGTTGGAGTATATTTGCACCACCCTACTAAAATCTAACGATCAACGACCCCTTTGACTTCAACGCCGAAGTACAATGGAAGTTATTTATTAAGTGTTGTATTACGACTGGCTATTAGTCAGTTGACACATTGCAAGTATTGCCGATAAAAGAAAAATATGCAAAATGTAATTACAATTAAAGTGAACAGAAATAATGCAAAGTAATGTCCAGCTGTTAGGGAGTGGGTGGAGTTGGTTTAATGATGCTATTGTTGTAGTATTGAGCGTTGTAGTAAATTTGAATAAATGCAAATGCAGCGGAATGAATTTGTTACCTGTTAATAATTTTAATTAGAATTACCATTATTCTTCATACATACCAATTATCTACCTATAATAATTATTGCAACGTATAAATTTACTCGCAAATTTGTGTAAAAAAAAAAAAAAAATAAAAAAATTAAAAAAAAAAAAAACGTTAACTTCGTTTGTAGTATACAAAAACCTCATCTTGGTTCGGACTGAAGAGTGTATCAGCTACATGCTGAAGCAACTTGGTCTAAACCATTTCTTCTGAAATTGCACTATATTGTCAAATGAAAAAATTGTCCATAACAGTGCTTGACTCCAATCGTTCAGTTCATATGATAGCTGTATGCGGAGCTGTAGCAAATGAAAATTTTATTACCTCTGCTCTACTACCGCTCCCAATTTTTTGCTAAAGTTAGGCCAGAGCAGAGCACAGCACTTCATTTTTTGCTCTAGCTACAGCTATAGTTTTTTACCTTACAAAACTCGGAGAAAAATAGAATGGATTGCGAAAAAAACGAACCGATGGATAGGCAATCATTATTAAGTGATAGGTAAATAAAAAAACGATGGTGAATAAATTTAAAAAACGATGATGTAAAATACTATATTCCGAATTATATTGGCGAAATTTTTATGAAGAAAACAATGAAAGTGACTTAAAGTGGCAAAAAAAATTTAAAAAAATTAATGCAGAATTTACTCCATCCTACGTATGAATTCAGGTACATAAGTATACATAGACATAAATGATGAATAAAATTGTGATTTCTGTTGATATTTTAAAACATATTATTCAGTGTAGCATACTTACAGGCGGTGTTACCGGCTTTTGTTATTAATTTGAGAAGGGAGGCATGTAAAATATACAATATAAAATTAGTATTAGTTTTTTTTTAGTTCTGAAAACAAATATTTTTGATTGACAAACTAAAAATGACTAATGAAGCGAATGGACTTTTAAATGTTTTTGTTTTTGGCATCAATTACCGTAGGTGAGAATCGAAAAAGTTGTTAAAATACATGCATTTTGTTTATTCAAAACATATGGACAATGATTTTTTCTGTTGGGCCAAAATATATAGATAGTCTAATGCATTTGTTTGCTTTCATTTTAACTAACATATAGCTCCACAAATCTTAATCAGAGTGTCATGTTTCAGAAGATGAGTTATAACATCAAAACCGAGCATTTTTTATTGCTTTCGTAAAGCTGGTTGGTGTAATACGAGTATGACGATAAAAACAAAACTTTCGGATATTGTTTTTCGAAAAGTAACAGTATTGTTTATAAAAAAGTTCCCTAACAAAGCATAGTATATTCTCTTCGAGCATTATAAAATACTGATACACTAATAAATTTGGAGAATGTAGGGGTTGTGGTGTCACAATTTAACATTCATGGTTATTTGGTAAGTTTATATTGCAGAGCCTGTGAGAATGGTCCTTTTAAATGCTAGGGTACTTTCATGCCGACAACTCGGCTTGTTTATGGACCTTTTCGCAATTTCTAAGCTCTTGGTATTTCTACAGGAATAACCGAAATAGAAACTGTCGATAGTTTCATTTCGACAAAAAAATAATACTAGTTCATGATATTAACGGCAAAAAAGTAAAGCAAAGTAATTTACAGTTACTTGGAGATTCAACAGATCCTTTCATTTATAAAGTGGAGTATGGCCATATTTTACGACGTATAAATCCATTATTTATGTATTAAATTGTATAATTACGTGAAAACCATTTTACTCGATAGCTGGTTGCCGTTTCGAAGGTAATTTTATAATGTTATTCTTATAGAAAGCATTGGCAAAAAACTGAAACATTCAATTTTCACAAGCTTCTCTAGAAACGTTTTTTCCATCAGTAAAATTAGTCAGAATAAACAGAAATAATATAATAACTTGATGTCAGATCGTCGTAAAACAGCTCTTGGAACATAGAAATCGGATCCGGCGATTTTTATTATTTAATCAATATTTTTGAACATTGGTCATGCAGAGCGTATTACATCAAAATTACCGGAATGGAAACAACTAAACCATATTTGCGTGTGATTGATTCCTACAGGGTCAGAACTATAAACCCTATTCACATTTTTAGCCAATTGATTTGGGTTTGGCATTTATCGATATGGTGAATTTTCTTTTCCCGGGAGGAGAAAATGAAACCAAATTGGTTTTGTTTATTTAATTTGTAATCCAGAAGTAACGAAATTATATATATTTTTAATTGGTGCTGTACGAAAAATCAGAACAAATAAAAAAAATCTGTTTTGAAACAACCATAAAATGCAGAACTTAATCTATCGGGTACAATCTTCTATAAGAGTGTACAGCTGCTGGCGTATGCCGATGATATTGATATCATTGGCCTCGACACCCGCGTCGTCAGTTCTGCATTCTCCAGACTGGACAACGAAGCAAAGCAAATTGGTCCCGTAGTGAACAAGGGCAAGACGAAATACCTCCTGTGATCAAACAAACAGTCGTCGCACTTGCGGCTAGGCTTCCACGTCACTGTTGACAGTCATAACTTTTTATCTTGGAATCAGTATCAACATCACCAACAATATCAGCTCCAACGTAGAATAACTCTTGCCAACAGGTGCTACTTCGGATCGCATAGACAATTGAGAAGCAAAGCCCTCTCGTGGCGAACAAAAATCAAAATCCATAAGTCACTCATTATTTACGTGCTGCTCCATGTATGGTGCGGAGGTATGGACGATGACAACAACGGATGAGTCGACGTTGAATTTTTCGAGAGAAAAGTTCTGCGAAAGATTTATGATCGTTAGCGCGTTTTCCACGGCAAATATCGCATTCGATGGAACGATTAGCTGTATGAGATATACGACGACAGTGACGGAGTTCATCGAATTAAAAAACAATGGCTACGCTGGCTAGGTCAAGTCGTCCGAATGGACGAAAACACTCCAGCTCTGAAAGTATTCGATGCTGCACTCGCCGAGGGAAACAGAGAAAGAAGAAGACCTCCACTCCGTTGGAGAAAGACCTGACTGCGCTTGGAATATGCCACGAAGCGTAAAGAAGAAACGACTGGCGTGCTGTTGCTAACCCGACTATAATCGCGTAAGTGGTGCCTACGCCAGTAAAGGAGAAAAATTTATGATTACTTCAATCAAATCTGACTGGGCATAAGGCTGAAATTTCAAAGTTCTCAACTGTATTTCCTATCATACTTGTGACAGAAATTTCTAATGATTAATGAGCTTTTAATTTCTTAACTGCCACCGTGATTAAACACTTTCTGATTATTTCACCCATACTTTCTTTTTTCTCAACTAATTGTAATTATTTGCTTAATTTGCTGCAGAAGCCGCGAAGATTAAAAAGTAATTAAATTTTCATTTCGAAGCGCAGCTGCATTTCACTTGCTATTGCACTCGAACGCGCAAGCTTAAGTGTTGGCGCAAGTGCTGGACAAACACATACACACAAATGCTTGTAAAAAAATATGTATGTGCTATGTATGGTGTGCGGGTACGATTTTTGCTGTTGTCGGCGTGTGTGTTCCACTTTAATTGAATTTATTTATTTTTATGATCTTCACAATTTTCCCATAAATCAAAAAAATATTCACAAGCACACATGTACATACATGAATATATGTATATACACACACACGCTGTGTGCGTTGTTGAGTCAGATGCGGCTGCATCAAATAAAAATAACAACAAATAACAGCGGAGAAAATTTAAAATATAAAGGTGCGGTTTGAAAGAAATTTGAAACTGCGGCTTAACTTGAAAAATCTTTAAAATAAATCGCATTTAATTGAAAATCTTTCACAAGAAACCAAAGCGCACAACAAAATTAAAAAGCAAGAAAGCAAAAGCCGAAACAAAGAAATACCTGACAGATGCCATAATTGACATGATGACGTATCGCCACGGTACATCACTGCCAACTTTAAGAAAAAGCCCAAACATGCTGGCGCTTGAAAATCGAAAGCTGCAACACGCATCAATGGTGCAACGAATAAATTGTTGAATGAGTGAATGAATAAATGAATGAATGAGTGCGATTGCCGATGTGCGCGAGTGTAGGTACAGGTATTATGGCTGAACAACGGCGCGCGCATAACACGCAGGTGAACCAACGATCAACAACCGATCGACAGAAAGGGAAAGCCAATGCTTGATGTTGACGCCGCCAGGCAGCAAGTCGTTGCAATACTTTCGTTTTCGATATGAAAATATTCATTTGTTGCACTTTTTAAAGTTAAGAGCAAAACGTAAAATAAAAGGTGAAATCAAACGCTTTTAAATATGAAATAACATCATACGAAAAGGCAACGAATGGCATCAGGTAGGAATGAATATGTTGGTTTGGCTTCGTTTTCCGTAGCAAAACCTTAAGCAAGGCGCGCGAAAATGTCGACGACTCCATGAGCAACCTGCAGCAACGGCAATATCAATTTTCAACGAAACCAACCACAACAGTTGTAGCAAAAAAAAAATTAAAAAAAAAAAATCCTCACGAAATTTTAATGTTATAATATTTTAGCTAACGGTGAGAATAGGTAAGAGCTTAACAAATTTCGAGCTCATGGGTACACTTATAACCAGAAAATGGGAGACTTAAAAGCTTGCAAAGCACAGTTTATGGTACACTATAATGTGATTTAAATTTTGAACATATTATGATTCGTACCTATTTCCAAAAAATGGTTTGTGTTTATATATGTTGTCGTGTTACGCATTACAGTCTTAGTCTCATTATGGTCTTACAGTTTTCAAACCAGAAATAATTCAGAATAAATCATTTAAGAAAATATAATATTTAAGGAAATGAAATAGCTATGGCTACTTGAGTAATAATTCTATGTTATTTTCATTAGTTTGATATTCATTCTTGTATCAGAAATCAACTTCACTACTGTTATCGTATTACGATTATTGATATAGTATATTCTAATCTTCAAATTTTAATTTTCGCACATATTTAGCTTTGTAACCGTCGCTTAAACATTTTTGTCTTCAAGCGCTTTACGTTCTTTATTTTATCCAACATGAATTTAGATCTGAGGAGGAGGTCGGTCATTCCTTCCTTCGAATAAAACATGGCGTGTACACCAGCTTTGATCGCAACCTTGTAAGCTGGAGGGAGGGAAATCTTGCCTTTACCGTCCCACATACCATGACAGATGAAATGTCGATCGTAATGCAATCTTAAAAAACCTCTCTCGTCCGTCCCTTCTCTCGAGGGTGATTTCGTAATAGGATTGCAAACAACGGAATTAAAATTTGAATTAATTTTTTATTCTGTAATCCCAAAAATCTAATTCCATATACTGAATGAAAAAATAAAAACTAATTTTTATCCCAAATAATGTGTTGGAAAAAAATTTTAGAAAAAAATCGTAACTTAAAACAAATTAAAATTTTTAATCTTAAAAACCGAAATTAAAAATAAAAAAATGTTAATCGCAAGTTTACAATTAAAAATAAAAGTTTTTCATTTCATTTATAAATTTTTATTTGAAAATTGAAATTTTTATACCAAATAAAAAAAGATATTAAAAATTAAATTTTCGTTTCTTAAACATCTTGTATCGAAATCCAAAAACTGGACATAAAAAGTTAAAATACATTTTCTATCCCAAAATTGACTTTTAGTAAACAGTGCCTAAATTTATTGAACAAAAGTTTAAGAGTTCTTGTGAATGGCGTATCAAAAAGTAACGGAAGCCGAATAAAAACTGATAATAACTAAATTACGAGTATACTTTTTCATCTTTTATCACTATTCGGAAAAGAGAAATTTAAACTAGTGCCAACTTTTTTAATACCGGGCGAAGTAC